AGTGATTAAAAAAAACAAACTTGGGGGCTGGAGAGATAGCACAGCGGTGAGGGCATTTGTCTTGCACGCGGCCGACCCGGGTTCGATTCCTAGCATCCCATATGGTCCCCTTAGCACCACCAGGAGTAACTTCTGAGTGCATGAGCCAAGAGTAACCCCTGTGCATTGCCGGATATGACCCAAAAAGGAAAAAAAAAACAACTTATTGGTGCAGAAAACACATTAAGTAGTTGAAAGTGGACAAACCATAGCTACGAAGCAGAATAGTGAATTGAAAGTTACATCTGGGGAAATGAAAGTGTGTCGGATAAATGAAATATAAAGAAAAATGAAGAAACATGAAGGTTAGGCACAGAAGTTGTGTCTATTTCTAATATTTATTTTTGGTTAATCTCACCCGGCAGTGTTCAGGGGTTACTCCTGGCTCTGTGCTCAGGAATTACTCCTGGCGGCACTCTAGGATGCAGGGGAATCAACCAGAGTCTGCTAAGTACCAGGCAAGCGCCCAACCTGCTGTGCTATCTCTGAATATTTATCAGTTCACTTATATATTTCACTAGCATATATTTGAAAAGTTATGAATCGAAATGATAGAGAAGTATGACTTCTATGTGAAACGATGAAGATAGAAATATATATATCATGAATCGCAAGGAAAAATCGGGATGAAAGAAAATGCAGGCTATTAAACAGATCAGAGAGGATGAGAAAAAGGCAAAGAGAAAATAGATCCAATTATATCAGTAATCATAATAAATACAAATGGCAAAAGAGCCTCAGATGGGATGGGCGGTGGAGGGGAAGCAAATCAAGCAGTGCAGGCTATGCAAATACACTGATTCGGAAGCGAGGAAAGTGAAGGAATGGATGCTATGGGAATGTGTCAGGACAGAAGTTCACTGGCACTGTGTTTACGGTAGTTAAAAAATGAAGGAGAGGGGCTGGAGAGATAGCACAGCGGGTAGGGCGTTTGCCTTGCACGCGGCCGACCCGGCTTCGATTCCCAGCATCCCATATGGTCCCCTGAGCACCGCCGGGAGTAACTCCTGAGTGCAGAGCCAGGAGTAACCCTGTGTATCGCCGGGTGTGACCCCAAAAAAACCAAAAAAACCAAAAACAAACAAAAAACAAACCAAAAAAACACCCATTAGGGAAACAGATTTTAAACGCCTATGATATTTGTAGGTTAAAAATAGTAGAGAACGATTAAAACAAATCAGTTGCATTTCTGTGTATCAGTATGGATAAGTCAAGAAAACATTGAGGGGAGGGAGCAAGATACAGAATGACATGATATTTACATCTTCGTAATTTTGAAAATATTCTCAGAGAGAGAGAAAAAAAGCGCCTGCCATAGAGGCAGGCAGGGGGTGGGGGGAGGGGAGAGGAGAGGAGGGGAGGGAACCTGGGGAGGAAACCTGGGGACACTGGTGGAGGGACGGGTGTTAGAACATGGTACGACTGAAGTCCAATCATGAAGAGCTTTGTAAGCGTCTGTCTCACAGTGATTGCATAAAAAAGGTTTTTTAAAGAAAATATTCTCTTTCCAGACTCTCCCCCCCCCCCCTTTATTTGGGCCACACCCAGCAGTGCTCAGAACTGATCCTGACTCTGTGATCAAGGATTACTCCTTTCGGGGCCCAGGGGCCGTATGGAGTCCCAGGGATAGAACCCAGGTTGACCATGTATAAAGCAAACGCCCTACTGTACTATCTCTTCAGCCCCTATTTATTTTTTCATACTATTTAACACTAACAATACTATTTTATTTTGTAACTGCTCGTTAATGTTGTCTGAGATCCCCTAGAAACAGAGTGAAGACCTAGGTATCAAATCGTGTTCCCAGAAACTCGTAAACCAACTAAACAGAACTTGTCAAGGCAATGTATGAAGACCAGCTTGGGGCTTGGGGGTGTTAATTGTTGTGTGGGGCCACACCCAGCCGCGCTCAGGGCTTACCTGGCTCTGTGCTCAGGGATCCTGGCCATGCTGCAGGACCACAGGCAGTACCAGGAATCGAAACCCAGTTGTCCACATGCCAGAGAGGTGGCCTGCCTGCTGTCTTATCTCTCTGACCCCCGTTTTGGAAACCCGAACTCATTACCCACAGTAGGCCTAAAAGAAGGTCGGTGTTAAAGGAAGAGCCGGGAGAGAATTTCTGTCTTTAAAAGAGGGCTGTGGTGCTTTCACTTGCAGAACTCGATCTCAATTCTTGGAGATTAGACCTGTGCCAGCAAAAGCCTAAAGACTTAAGATGGCCAGCTGGTGGCCAAGGAAGAGAAGTGGCCACATGGGGAAGGCTCAAGGTAGAGCTACAGGCATGGAGGGAAAATGGTGCTGGCCTGGAGCTGGTGCACAGGAAAGGCCCCAGGCTTCCTTCAGAGGGAGTCTGTGTGCAGTGGGGTTCTTCCAAACTAGAGCCTGTCGTGACCCAACAGTGAGTCGCTGGAAGGGGCTCGCACGCTGTCGGCAGTGAGGCTGTCCAAGGAGCCGCAGCTGCTCCCCATAAGAGTTCGCCCGTAGGTAGTGGCCAAGTCTAGAGATGACTGTTGTGTCTGAGCTGCAGGTCAGGTTCTCCCCGCCCCTTCCCTGCTCTCTTCCCCCAGCTCTGAGCCTGCAGGGCCCAGAGACCAAAGTAAACAAGCAGGTGAGGGAGGAGAGTGGGTGACTAGGCTGGAAGGAGACCCCACCGGCTGGGGGATTGTGACTTTTTGACAGGGGGCAGAGGCGAAGGCACACTGGAAGTGCTCAGGGCTGATCTCTGGCTCTGCACTCGGGTCAGGCTCAGCAGGGCACGGGGACTCATATATAGAGCCTGGGATCAAACCCAGATCGGCCGCTTTCCCACTTGCCATCTCTCTGGCCCGAGTTGAGACGTTTTGGTTATTTTTTATTAAATTCTCACACGCATGTAAAAGAGTGGACAGGGGAAGCCACAGTTTGTTGCCAGAATCCCTGGAGCCCAACCCCCTTTCCATTCTTCAATGTATTCCACTTCCCTGGTAACAGCTATCCAGTAGGTAGCCCGGTCATGCCTGGGAATTGTTAAAGTGGCTTTATTATTTACTTATTCTCTCTCTCTCTCTCTCTCTCTCTCTCTCTTCCTCTCTCTCTGTCTCTCTCTATCTCCGTCTCTCTCTTTCTCACCCTCCCCTTCTGGGCATTCTGGTTTGCAATACAGGCACTCACAGGTTATTGTGTATATTCCTTTACCCACTCGCAGAACTCAGTTCTCGTCCCGGGTGATCATGTCCGGCTGTCATTGTCCAGCTACCCCCCCTCTACTCATGGCCACCTTCCACCAGGGGACAATTCCTCCCCATTCTTGTTTCTCATTTCTACTCTCCTTGGATATTACTCTCATGCTCTGCTCTCTGGTTTGTTGTTTGTTTGTTTGTTTGTTTTTAATCCCACAAATGAGTGCAATCATTCAATGACTTTTTTTTTTTTACAAATTTTTAAATCAGTTAAAACTTAATGGAATCATTTCTCCCCCCCCCCCCATCTTGATTCATATTGGTGCTCACTGGCAGCGGGGAGGGGGATGCGGGGGATGGGGCGGGTGTCACATGTCATAGTGTGGTTGCTCACACACAACAGATTTGCTCACTGAGGATCACACAGTTTACTCGCGGTCTAGAACGTCTTTAGCGTTTGCCGGCGGTGGCACCATTTTCAGTCATGCTGTTGGCACACAGCTGGCCGTGGTGCAGTCTGAAATCACGTGTGATGCTGGAACGCCAGGGCGCTGGCTTGCGAAGCAGGCCCCTGAGTAACTCCAGTGCCATGGAAGGCTTTCAGGACTACGGGACAGTTGCAGCGCCGTCCTGAGAGCTTCCCGTGCCTCCCCCTTTGCCTCATCGCACTTCGTGGAAAGAAGCCTATCGACCTTGCAGTCGCCAGTCACCCCGGATGCTGCAAGTCCACGGAGCCCCCTTGCTGGGATTCTCACAGAGATTCGCCCTCATTTCTTCTAAATGCTGGAGTTGGGAACTCCAGGTTCCCCAAACTCCGGGTTGGGGATGGGTTGTAAGGAGACTTAAAACCATCATTTGAGGGGCTGGAGCGATAGCACAGCGGGGAGGGCGTTTGCCTTGCACGCAGCCAACCCAGGTTCGAATCCCAGCATCCCATATGGTTCCCTGAGCACCGCCAGGGGTAATTCCTGAGTGCAGAGCCAGGAGGAACCCCTGAGCATCGCCGGGCGTGACCCAAAAAGCAAAATAAAAAAAAACCATAATTTGAGTAAGTTAAAGTGAAATAGCTAACTATACGTTTCTCATTTTTTTTTTCTTTTTGGGTCACACCTGGCGATGCACAGGGGTTACTCCTGGCTCTGCACTCAGGAGTTACTCCTGGCGGTGCTCAGGGGACCATATGGGATGCTGGGAATCGAACCCCGGGTCGGCCGCGTGCAAGGCAAATGCCCTACCCGCTGCGCTATCTCTCCAGCCCCTCATTTTTTAAAAAAATAGTGAGCCGCTCTTTCCCCTTTTTTATTGTTTAAAGTTTTTAAAAGGTCTCCCCACAAAGGAGGACGTGCATGTCCGCAGCAAGGAAGTGGGGGAGCTGGTGCAGCGTGCGTTTTATTGCTGAAATAAATACGTGGGTGACTTGTCTGCTCCCTGTCCTGGCCTGTGAATTAAGACACTTAAGTGAGTGCGAGGGCTGATGCCACTCAGCGTCGTTTTCCTTTTCGTCTCATCATTATTGCCCCTCACTGCTAAGTGCCCAGTGGTGTCTGCCATGGTAAGATTAAAACTTGCACTTTTCCTAATAGACGGAACTCTCTTCCTGATTTGCAGTTAGCAGGACCCGCTTTTAAGCAGTTGTCCATTATTTGGGGCCGCCACACACACTGTGCTCTGGCCCGGGTCATAATCAATAATTCATATGTCAACAGGAACCCCATTAGCTCAGGTGAAGGCAGATGTCTTTCTAATGAAAATGTTCCATTTTCCAAATGACTTCTTCTTCTTCTTTCTTTTTTTTTTTCCCAGAGAGTTGTGGTTATCGACGACATAAAAAGGTGGAAAACTATGCTGGAGCTTCCTGGTCAAACCAAAGAGAATCTCATGGAAGTCTTACGGGAACTGAAGAAGAAGCTGCCCTCCAGGGAGGTGTTAAAATCCACGCAGATAGGTAGGGTCCTTTTGAATCTTGTCAAAGTGCTTCCATTTGGTCTCTTTCCTTTTTCCTGTCTTTCTTCCCTTAAGTATTAAGTTAGCTAACTCTCAGTGCTTCTCAAACCCAGCTGGAGGAGAAACATTAAAGAGTTTTCCATTGGATGTAGGCCAGTATGTCCATAATATATAATGAAAATATGCAAAACACAGGACCCACCTTTAAAAAATTAGATCCAACAAACATTTACTTCATATTTCTATAAAAGTTTCTAGGGGCTGGGGCAATAGTACAGCAGGTAGGGTGTTTTCATGCGGCTGACCCAAATTCGATCCCCAGCATCTCATATGGTCCCCCTCAAGCACCTCCAGGAGTAATTCCTGAGTGCACAGCCAAAAGTAACCCCTGAGTATTGCTGTGGGTGTAACCCAAAAAGGAAAAAAAAGTTTCTAAATGTGGGTCGAAATGCTATACAGTGGGTAGGGTGCTTGCCTTGCATGTGGCTGATCCAAATTCAGTCCCTGGCATCCCATATAAGGCCCCCACCCCCACCCCACCCCACTCCCGAGCCCCAGTAGGAGTGATCCCTGAGCGCAGAGCCAAGAGTAACCCCTGAGCACCACTGGGTGTAAAACCCCAAATAAGAAAGTTTCTAAATGCTTACATCTGTTTTCTTACTTCATGCACTAGTAACCGGCAATTATCTTAACTTGTGTGGGGGTGGGGGGGAGGTTAAACCCAGGTCACATGCATGCAGGGTGTGTACTTGACCATACTTCCAACCCTACAGACTGCTTTTTGTGCTGCTTGTGTGTGTAGAAACCAACCTGACCTCAAGTCACCTAACTTGTGACCTCAAGTACCCCTAAGTTTTGTGGAGAAGTCAGCGTGTAGAAAAATAGAAGCAGTAAAATATGATAGGTTACAAACAGAAGTGCATGCATCAACTGGGATGTGGCTCGGTGGTAATATGCAGACCTTGTATTGTGTGAGATCCCTGGGTTCTATCCCCAGTCCTACAGAAAAAGGAAAATCCAGGTGAGTGGTGTTGTGGGCACCATTCTGATCTGTCCAAGGTAGACTTTGGCTCAAACAACAGAGCCTGGCATCTAGACAGTTTAGAAAAGGCTTCGTCAAAGAGGTGACATTTCAGCTAAATCTTGAGAGACTTGGCTTCTCTGTCTTGAGAGAAGATAACTTGCGAAGCGTGTTTCCATAAAAACAAACGATAGCACCGTTTGCCACTGCGTCATTGATTAAAACACTGGCGGTGTTGGAAAGGTAAGCCGGCGACTGTGTGTGTTGCGTTGCCATTTCCGTGCAGTGCGCAATTGTGGGTAACATGCACGGGAGGGCCAACATGTGTTCCTCAAGCTGCTCCCGCCCCCCTGGGGAGCCTCGGGGAGTCGTCACAGCTGCCGTTCCTGCCCTCGCTCGTGCAGCCATCGCCTCCGCTGCCTCCCCTTGACCTCTCGTTCACTGAGAAGCAGGAGAGGGAGCAGCCTCAGACTGGTGCGAACAGCTGGCAGGAGCTGTGCGAAATCCCCCCGAGAGCCCCCCAAGAGTCTTGAGAGTTGCACCCCTGTAATATAAACCAGAATCCGAGAAAATTAGATGCTTAAAGAACATAAAGCCCTATCATTATAGCCACGGAGAGTCTCCCATCTGCCGGCGGATTTCTTCCCTTCCGGGCTGTGGGCACTAGAGGGCGATAAGACCATGCGAATGGGTGGATCAGGCTTCCCCGCCAGCAGAGGGTACCAGCGGTTAATATTTCATGACATGCATATATATATGTATATATATACACATATGTGTATGTAATGCTCATCTTTAGACACAAATACCATCTATAATCAGATCTTGAATGTCAACAAAATAGGCTGGAATTGTCCTCCAAATAGGGAACAGATGAGAATTCCAAGCGGTCGTCTTTAGTGTCCTTTGAGTGAGCGTGCTTTCAAGAACGGGCGTGCCTGACGTTGGGTTCAAGGACCGGAGTGAAGCCACACCAGAGGAGCTTGACCCGGGAGGAGCTGGGTGCCACCCGACTTTGGAAGCTTGACCTTCCATCAACGCTTCCCCGAGGTTGTGGACACACGGGGAGTTCTTGGTTGCTTTGTAGTTCTGTCCGTCGCTAGGCTGAAGGTTCATTTGGATCTTTGTCTGAGAATGTTTGCATGTTCCCACCTTCTGCCTGCCCTCTCCTGTGGCCTGTGAAGGCACAAACGTGTACCCAGGGCCTCCTTTGTGTTCGAAAGTGTGCCAGCCAAACCGCGAGAGAGGTGCTGGGCCCACCTCTCTGGAGCCTGCGTTTCGTGGACCCTCAGACAGTTTCAGCCGGCCCTTTCTCAAACAAGGTGATGACTGCTGTGACGACGGGAAGAGATGAGCCAGAGGGGAGGAAATATCGTGGGAGTGGAGGGGAAGGCATTGAAGAACAGGTCAGGTTGGGGGTACATTGTGTGAGCTGTACAGAATGTTGGAGGTGGGAAAGAACATTCTGGCAACTGAAAGAAATCTGGCGTGTTTAAAATGTACAAAGCTGGAGAGAAAGTGTGACAAAAAGCGAAGCTGAAGAGTGTCTGGTCCCAGTGGAGAATTTCTTTGCCGTTCGAAACTGTTTGATCTGCTCTTCAAAGAGCCTACATCCTAGTGGCCACAACCCAAGATACTAGTTAGCTAGCCCTGTGTGGGAAAAGTACCCCCAAATACAGCCGCTTAAATCTTGCACTGTTTTGTTCTGAAGACAGAGAATCTGGAAGCGACTTGTCTGGGGGTGGTGCTGTTGGCTCGGAGGCAGGCGCTGGAGAGGCCGGCCAGGCCCCGCGGGGGGAGCTGCGGCCCCTCCCAGGGCTGCGCGTGGCACAGCAACTGACTTGTCACGTAAGAGAGACCACGGTGGGTTTTCTGACCTGACCCCAGAGGCCCATAGCACCACTTCCTCCGTAGTCTTTTTTTTTTTTAACTTTTTTATTGAATCACTGTGAGACAGACCCTTACAAAGCTGTTCATGCTTGGATTTCAGTCAGGCAGTATTCCAACACCCATCCCTCCACCAGGGTACATTTCCCAGCACCATGGAGCCCGGCAAGCTACCGAGAGTATTCGATATGCCAGACACAGTAACAACAAAGTCTCCAATGGAGACGTTACTGGGCCCGCTCGAGCAAATCGATGATCGATGGTCCCCAGGTTCCCTCCCATCACCCCCACCCCCTGCCTCTATGGCTTCTCTCTCTCTCTCTCTCTCTCTCTCTCTCTCTCTCTCTCTCTCTCCCCTCTCCCTCTCCCTCTCCCTCTCCCCCTCCCCCCCTTCGGGCATTGTGGTTTGCAATATTGATACTGAAAGGTTATCAAGAAAATCCCTTCCCTTTACCTACTTTTAACCCCGAGATACTTTTAACCCTGAGATCTTGTCCAGCTATTATTGTCATACTGGTGTCTTCTCTATCTTACCTACCCTCAGCACCCCCCCCCCCCACACACACACACACACTTGTGGTTAGTTCCAACCATTGATCAGTCCTCCTAACCCCTGTTTTTTCGGCCATGGATGTTAGTCTTCTTCCATAGTCTTTTGTCTCACAAACCAACTATGGTATCGCGGGCAGCATGGATGTGAGGGTCATGGATCCCAATAAGGGGTGCTGGGGAGTAGCTTGCACGCTGCCTCTTGTGATTTGTATTTCTGTGGATTTAACGAGAAATATTATGGTTCCTGCACTGCAGGATTTATATTCATCTAGAAATTTCATAGCCATTGTATCATCAATAGCCCTCTCGTTCTCTATATTCTTTCCTTCTGCGATTTTATCATTAGGATTATGTTAGACCTTTTATTTTCCAGATCTGTAGACTTGTCCACCATTACAATCTCAGAATTCTGGACAATTTCTTCAGATAGGCATATCCCAAGTCACTAATTCTCCTCTTCGCTGACTCTAATATGCTCTTTGTCCCAATCATTGAGTTCTATACCTCAAAGACTTCTGTACATTTACAAGTTTCCTTTGTCCCCTAAATCTGTGCCTTTCCTAGATAGTATTTGTACACTTTTGAGATTGTGTCTTTTCTTTCCTTAAATATTTAATGTATAGTTCTGTCGTTCTGTTCTTCTTTTGATTAGTCCTTGGGGTTTATGTGCTTTTATTGTTTCTGCTGAATCATGGCTTGCCTTGCCGTGCTCCTGTTGTTTTTCTTTTTTTAATTGCAAGCTCATTATTTTATTTCATTGATGGGAATTTTGTGGGGCTCCATTGCAGAAGCTTCCCTCTAGAGGGGATTAGCGTCTATTTTTGGTTTCTAACAGTAGCTAAGGGCCACTTCTGACCTGGAATCTGTTACATACCTCTCAGTGATCCCAGCTCAGCGTGAGAGTGCCGGGATTAACTCCCCCACTTCACCACTGGCCCAAAGCTAAAGATTTTAGCAGCAGCTCTCTACCATCAGCCCTCAGGATTACCCGGCCTCTCGCTGAGCCTCCCCTCCAGCCTCTTCTTACTTACTTTACTGGGGGATGGAATGAAGTGCCTGTAATCCAGAGTCTAGCTATAGTTAAGGGGTAGCTTCACGCCACCGTCGAGCCTGAGATCCTGACGATAATGAGTGGTTATTACTGAGGATTTTGAATGGCTGAGTGACAGATTCGCATTTGCATTTTAGAAAACTCTAGCTAGCCACCATATGGGAAAAGTGTTCAAGAGAAACAAAGGCAGGAACCCGGTTAGGGTTGAGGAGCAGGGATGGTGGCCTGGGTGGGACAGTGACGTGGGGATGGGAGAATGTGGCTGGAATCAAGAGGCATCAAGGAAATGAGAGTCCAGAGATTGTTGGGACTCTGGGAAGGAAGATCATGGTCACGGTCACGGTCCTCCCGTTGTTCATCGATTTGCTCGAGCGGGCCCAATAACATCTCCATCATGAGACTTGTTGTTACTGTGTTTGGCATATCGAATACGTCACGGGGAGCTTGCCAGGCTCTGCCGTGCGGGCGAGATACTCTCGGTAGCTTACTG